ACGGCTTTGAATCCAGGCTAACCACTGACCATAACATAAAAGTTTTTAATAGTTTGGGTAGGTTAGCCAAAGTCTTAATGGCGCACTTCTGTTAATAGCTCGAACCTGCAGCTGTGGCTCGCAAGCCAACTCGTTCATAATGCACATAAAAGTAAATCTTAGCAATTCCTTTTAGTAATTTTTAATGGCACAACAGAATTTACTTTGCAGTTTATTTGAATTTTTATTCCTCCTTTTTTTTTTAATTTATGTATATTCATAAAATTTTTATTTCTTATTACAATGTGCTTTAGGCTTGATTTCTGTTTCTTTAGTTAGTAAAAAACAGAATTAATAAAAAAGTGATTACAGAACTTCTAAGCCTAGGCCGGAAACAGTTTCGAAATCTTTTTCAATCCTCTTAATGGCATTTTGTTAATAAATAAAAAAGACTTGAATTTGATAATAATCTTTGTATGCACCAATTGCTGACACATTTGAGTTATATAAAATACCTCTAATGTTGTAAGTCTAAGTAGATTACATACTCTTCAATACAGCTCAAAAAGACTCTCAATAAAGAGACCCAGCCAGGTTTTAGCAAAACTCAAATATTTGACTACAACGTTTCCACTTTAAGACGGCAACTTCCCGATGCTGGCATCTTCAGACAGACAGACAGACAGACAGACAGACAGACATACCGACAGTTTTATTTGTAGCTAAAAGACAGTCCAAGGTGGCTGTAAAAAAATGACGGAAGCTCAAATGCAATAACTGCCAAAGCTCGTAAGACTCACTAATAAAAACACTACAAATCAACTCCAAAGAAATACCGAAAAAAAAACAACAACAACAACAAAAAACAAAAAATTGAAAAACAATTTGAAAAATAAACTTAACGTTTTTATGAAGAGCTAGGCAAACCTTTGCCACCATTTGGGGCTGTTGTTGAACAGACGCAAGCAGCAACCGCAGCAACAACCACAACAACAGCAACTGCAGATGGTGCCCAGTCAAGCCTGTTGGGGGGGTCCACTTCATCCTGAAGTTGATTACGTCTTTGTCGCTGTCTCTGCTGCCATATTTTGTGTTTTATTTTCGATTTATTTTCGTTTTTTTCGTTTTTTTTTTTTTTTTTACCAAGCAGCGAAAAATTTCACTTTCATCTTTACAGAGGCCTGGTACCGTTAACTGTGGCCAGCTGCAAAAGTCGCATCAGCTAAATTTCTTTTTAACCCAAATAAACCAGTTGCCAGTCGGGCGAAACAAGATTTTTGTCTCTCGATAAATATTGTTTTTTTTTTCTGTTTAAGTATATTTTCGGTACATATATGTATATATATTTTTTCGGGTGGCTGATTGTGTCAGAGACGCAGTCCAAGTGCCATGCAAACACTCTTAACTGCATGTAGCGAGAGATCAGCAGTGAAACACAACATAACACACATTTTGTTGTTTGTTTTTGTTTTTGGGGCGTCACCTCGTTGCTGTTGTTGTTGTTGTGGTGTGTGCATATTTTATGCTATTTGGGTTAACCCGACAACTGAATAGTGGTTGGACAAGCGCGTTAGATCTATATGCACAATTTATCATTAAGGCGAGCTATAATAACGCACACATATGTAACGAATCTATACGTATGTACATATGTCCATTTTGCTGGCAAACTGGTTGGTCGCCTTAATGAAAGACTTAGGCAACGAACTTGCTGGCTTCTTGATTCAATTTTCATAACCTGTGCCCACCCGTTTCCAGCTCACTCAGGGTCAGCCACTTAATGGCGCCTTTCACTTTCCAGCACCAGGAAACGCACTCTGGAACAATTCCGACATCAATCAGTTCAACCTTTCAACTTTTCAGCTTTGCAATTCGGCTATGAATACTATCGGTACAAAGTGCATTCAACTTTTTAGCTTAGTTTATGGAAATTCTCCCCGACAACAAATGAAGATTAATTGAAAAAGCTGTTTCGGCCGAAACTCAATCCAAACGGGTCTTCAGAAATCATGCGCAAAAATGATAAATGGGTTGCCTTTGAAAAACGAGCTGAGCTGAGTCTGATCTGAACTGAGCTGCGCATTAAATTACCAAGTATAATTATCAAATTTCGAGTCTACATATTTCAATATACATGTATTCTTACATCTGAAATCAGTTATAAAGTCAAAACAAATTTGTAGCAAACTTCTTTTCCACCTGACTTGAAGTATTTGTCTTAGCCTTGAACTCACGGCGGCTGTTTGTTCTCTTAATTGAATTTTTATGCGTTGAAAGCCGTTCTCAGCTTTAGGCGCTGCGCTTCGGTTTCATTTCATTTGATATTTCGAGTTTTTATTAGTTGCCCGTTTTTTTTTTTTTTCGTGGACTGCTATCTCGCAATCGTTGTGTTTTGTTGCTAATTATTGAATTAGTTTGGTAGCGCATAAACTTCTAATTAAAACATTTATAGACTGTGAGAGTGTTTAGAATTAAACTAGGCTCTAAAAGTATGTGGAGATGGAGATGGATTAGAATGCGGAAAGAATTTTCAAAGTGTCACAGCAACATGTTTAAAGCTCTGGAGATTTATAGCTGTCTATATTTAATTAATTATATTGGAAGTAGTTTTGTTTATATATTT